CGGCATTGCTGGGTGGTATGGCGGCAGTGGGTTCGTGGGGTGCCTTGGCGGCACTGGTCTGCGGGGGGGTACTATGCAAAACTGTTTTACACTGGGGGGGGGGGAATGGTGTGTCCTCTGACCCCCTGTCCTGTGTTAGAGGGCTTGGATTGATTTACACCCTCACTTCCCGTTCCTGGGGTCCATGGCGGCCCGGGGCTGGGGCTGGTTTGCAGGGGCTATACACTCCTTTCTGAGCACTGGTGTGTGTTACATGGGGGAGTGTGTCTGTCTGTGCTGTTAGGGTTTGCGTTGATCCCGGGGCCTGGCACCCCGCGTTTCTGCAATGCACAGTTAATCGGGGCTGCTAGTGTGTCCCTTGCCTGCTGATGTGACTGCCTGTGGAGGTGCTGTGCGGTTGTGTAGTATGATGTTAATTGGGAGTGCCAGACACTGCCAATGTATTTGTGGAGTGGGTTTTTTTGAAACTGCATTAAATGGGGGTGCTCTGCCTCTGAGGTTCCTGTATTCTGCAGGGAGTTCATGCATTTGATGGCTTGGGTTTATTTACACAGAATCCGTTTCTATCATGCTCTTCGTATTGGGGGATGCCCTTATTTCAGCAGCTGTTGGCTGTCCTGGCATGTGTTTTGGGTGCGAGAAGATGCTGGGTCTGCACCTGCCACGTGTTGGCGGTATGTGCATGGGTACTGTGAGACCTGGGCTGTGCTCTCCCTGCAGTTGTGCCTTAGGGAAGCAGGGTCACTGGAGTGGGGTCTGGGGCTTGGCAGGGGTGAGTTTTCAGTGCAGTCATGCTTGTGGCAAAGGGAGGAGGGCTGCAGCGGCTGGTGAGTCAGGCACATGTCAGCCCTGTGTGCGTGGCCAGTTTGCCAGCTTGCCCCTGGCCTGCTCCCACCACTGTTCGCTAGCCTTGCCCCTCTGGGAGAGAAGGGAGCTTGCTCCTAGTCCCTGGAGGTAGAAAGATTGGATTCATAGGTTCATGTTAAGGCAAGAAGAAGGGGGGTCATTAGGAACAGATCTGATTTGTACACAGAGGCTTCTCCTCAGTGATCCCTGCTTCCAGCCCCCTTGTTATCTCGAGTGGCTGAGAGGGGACAGGGGTGAGGTCAACCCTTTGGGATTGCTTACAACCTCAGCCTGTCTCCAGACTCCCCAAGGGGACCACCTGGGCTGGGCCTGACACTGAACCCAACCCAAACAGAAGCAGTACGCTTCTCAGGTGTGGACTAGATCTGCTAAGTGGCTTTTCAACTCCGCTCCAGTGACCCCTCCTCCATTGCTGAGCAAAGGATGGGAGCAGCTGGCTCCCGGCTCTCTCCAGGCAGAGGGTGTGGGGCAGGGTCCTGTGTTGGCGACACTGCTCTGTGGGGTGGTGCAGCACTGGAAGAGATGGACCCCTCTGGTGCCTGCAGTGTGGATTCGGAGCTAGTCCCTCACTGGTGACACACTAGTGTTGTGTGGGGTTCGACAGCAAGATCTCTGGGTCTGGGCCCTTAGGAGAGGCTCTTGGTTCGGGCTCCCATAGAAGCAGTTGGGAATGCAGCCCTAGGCTAGCGGCAACTGGCTAGAGTTCATGGCCTCTCCCTGGGCATGCGTGTGGCTGAGAATTCACCCACATCCCTGGGAAACAGATTGCCTTAGTACACTTTCCTCTCTGCCTTTCGCTTGGGTTTGGATGGATGTTTTCGGAGCTTAAAGATACGCAGAGCAATCTTCCCAGCACTAACCGTGCCCTAGGAGTGGGATAAATAGCACAGGCACCTCTCAGCTTTGCTTCAGGGATGGTTTTTGGGGAGACTTTTCAGAAGAGCACCTTCCCGGACCCAGAAGTAGCTGTCGCCAGCAGGCCCAGAGTTCTTTCCCTCCATCCCAGGTGTCCTGCCCCTGTGGTGTCTGCAGGCCCTTTTGCTCTGTGTTGCTGTGTGCTGGTGGCCCAGGGCCAGATGGCAGGAGCTTCTTAGTCCTAGAGTTACCCTTTTAATGGTGTCTTTGCTCCCATTTCAGGATTTTGGGGGAGGGCAGTACTGGGCTCATGGGCCTGGCGACGGAGTCGACCCCAGGCAAGCGGATCCGCAAGCCGTCACTGCTCTACGAGGGTTTCGAGAGCCCCACCATGGCGTCGGTGCCAGCCCTGCACCTGCCTCAGGTGAACCCTCCACCACCGGAGGTGTCCAACCCCAAAAAGCCAGGCAGGGTCACCAACCAGCTGCAATATCTCCACAAGGTGGTGATGAAGGCCCTGTGGAAACATCAGTTCGCCTGGCCCTTCCGCCAGCCCGTCGATGCTGTCAAGCTGGGCCTGCCGGTAATGAGCCCTCTGGGCTGGGCATGGGAGTGGCTGAGGCCCAGAGGTGGGTGGGTGGGTGTGTGTGTGTGTGTGTGTGTGTGTGTCTCTGTCCCCAGTTGATCCTTACTGGCTTGGGGAGTGTGTGCCTTTCCAGGGGTGTGAGGAGGATGCCTCATTCAAATATTGCTTCACCATGTGGCCTAACCTAAAGTATTCCCCCCCACACACTCCCCCCAGCCTGACAGTCCCAGGGACAGCACTGTCCCATCCTGGGGTCTGTGCCACAAAGATGCAGCTGCAGGTGCCTGGGCTGTGCCATCCCCAACTCCTCCTTCCCGACCTGTGGTGGTCTCTCAGCTGGTTCCATGCTGTCCCAGAGCTGAGGGTCTCCAGGTCCCTGTACATCCGGCCTGCTTGGCTTGTCCTGGGAGCTTCCCCAGACCAGCCGCCCCACCCTACTGCTCCCTACAAAGGTGTGGATGAGGTGAGGCAGCCCCTTTACAGGTAACCCGGACACTTCCCCACCTAATCTCTTGTGCCCTGAATGCGTTTTGCAGATTCCCATCCATGAATTTGTAGAAGACATCACGTGACCCCAATATTAAACGCCAGCCCCCCGTGCACCTGTGGCGCTCAAGGATTTAAAGCCCGGAGGTAAATTCCACTTAGGTTTGCTCTTTCCTTAGCTTTAGTCTCCCAGCCCCTGTTGCACCCCGCCTGGGACTGGAGTAGTCCAGGTTGTTGGGTCGCTGGGACCGCAGCCATTCATGGTCACCAGCTGTCCCAGTAGCTTAGGCTTCTCTGCTCTGGGGTGCACAGGGGTCCCCGTCCCTGAGTTGTATGTGAGGCTGAATCCAGCGTTGACTGGAACACTGCAGGCACCCTAGGAAGTGTCCCTGAGTGGATACAACCCCTGTCCTTTGCCAGGTGACTTGAGTGTAGAAACCGGAATGAGATCTGTGTGCATGAGTGACATTACACAGCTCCTCTTTGGTATTTCTGGACTGAGATGCCACCCCCCTCCCTTGATCGTATGCCTCTGGGGCGCGGGTATGACTGGGATCCTTGTTGTAGGGCTCACACCTTGTGACTGACCACCTGGCCTCTTGTGCTCTTCTGCCGGCAGGATTATCACAAGATCATCAAGCAGCCCATGGACATGGGGACCATCAAGCGGCGTCTGGAGAACAACTATTACTGGGGGGCGGCGGAGTGCATGCAGGACTTCAACACCATGTTCACCAACTGTTACATCTACAACAAGGTGAGAGCCAACCCTCCCTGCAGTGCTCTCCTCCTTGGGATTTCCCTGGAGCCCCAGCCCCTTCCCTGCACCCTCTAATCCCTCACCTCTGCCTTGGCCTGCAGCCCACGGATGACATTGTGCTGATGGCCCAGACCCTGGAGAAGATTTTCCTGCAGAAAGTGGCTCAGATGCCTGCAGAGGAGCAGGAGATTGTCATCACGGTGGCCAAGAACAGCCACAAGAAGGGGGCTTCCCGGGCGGCAGGTACGTGCGCTCTGTGACGGGGAGACTAGTCAGAGTTGGCTCTGGGGGGGTGGGGGCAAGCAGATCCCAGACATGGAGGACTGAGTGTCCCCCTGGAAGGGTGGTCTGGAAATGCGGGAGATGTAGTGGTTAGAGATGGGTGGGCTGGGAGCCAGGACTCCTGGGTTCCATGGTCAGCTGTGACATTGGGCCAGTCCTTGTGTGGTGGTGACTATATTCCCAGGTGCTGGTGCTAACTGGTGCTTGCCTATTCCCCCAGCTCTCCTGGCAGGCGCAGTCACTGCAGCTCACCAAGTGCCCGCAGTCTCCTCGGTCTCGCACGCCTCGCTCTACACCCCAAGCGCTGAGATCCCCACCACTGTGCTCAGTATCCCCCACCCCTCGGTGATCTCGGCACCGCTTCTCAAATCACTGCACTCCGCTGCCTGCCAGCCAGTGCTGGCTGTGCCCGCTCCCACGCAGCCCGTGGCCAAGGTAGGCACCCACCTGTCTGGCGTGGGGCTGGGGCTGGTCGAGCGAGCAGCTGGTGAGACTGGCAGGGGTGTTGTTGGGTTAGGCCTGTGGGGCAAGGGGGTTTGGCTGGGTTGAGCTGTCTGCAGTCTGTCCTGTGGAGGGGGTGACGTTTGCGGACCTGGAGGAAGGGGCTGCGGTTGGCCATGTGGGGGTCAGAAAATACTTGGCTGTGGGGGTGCTGTTTGCATTTGGGCCGCAGGGCAGTGGGGTTTCTGCAGTTGTCCCATGTGGGACAGGTGCTGGGTGGTTTGGGGTTTCAGTTGGTTCTGTATGGGCATGAAATTGGGGGGGGTTGCTCAGCGCACTGCTCATGTTCTCTGTCCCTGCCCCACAGAAGAAGGGTGTGAAGCGAAAAGCGGATACCACCACCCCCACCACCACAGCCATCATCGCCACTAGCGGGGAGTCGTCCCCGTCGGCCACCCTTCTGGAGCCCAAAGCGGCCAAGATCCCCACCCGGCGGGAGAGCGGGCGCCCCATCAAGCCCCCCAAGAAGGACCTGCCCGACTCGCAGCAGCACCAGACCTCCAAGAAGGGCAAGCTGTCGGAGCAGCTCAAGTATTGCAACGGCATCCTCAAGGACCTGGTGTCCAAGAAGCACGCTGCCTACGCCTGGCCGTTCTACAAGCCCGTGGACGCCTCGGCCCTGGGGCTGCACGACTACCACGAGATCATCAAGTGCCCCATGGATCTCAGCACCATCAAGGTACGGCTGGGGGCTCTGCAGGGAGGGAGGGAACCTCCGGGTGTGTCCTGGAGTCTTCCTCTGGGGACTGGGCATCACTGAAGTGCAGCCCGTGACCTGGCCCTGGGAAGGGGGCATCCCAGAAACCTCTGTGCCATCCAGGTATGAGCTGAGGCCTTCCTGGTGCGGGTCTGCAGGAGACTGGTCCCCCACTGGGGAGCCTCCGGGATCGCCCCGCCCTGTGGAAGGCAGCGTCACTGGCTCACAGGCGTCCTGTGGCAGCCTGAGTCCCTGTCCCTCCTTGGGGGCGGTGGGGGCTGTCCTGCCCCCAGCGGTGCCAGGAAGGCTCTGGCCAATGGTAACTGCCTGATGAGCTGGTCTGAGCCCCCTTGCTGCAGCCCAGTCTGGGGAGAACCTTGGGGGTGGGGGGTCTGTGCCCCTTCCCTGGTGCAGCCACCCCCGCTCACCCTGTGTTCTCTGCCTGTGGTGCAGCGGAAGATGGAGAACCGGGATTACCACGACGCGCAGGAATTTGCTGCCGACGTCCGGTTAATGTTCTCCAACTGCTACAAGTACAACCCGCCCGACCATGACGTCGTGGCCATGGCTCGCAAGCTGCAGGTGAGTGGGGCAGTGGGGCCAGGTGGCACTTCCCCTCCCCTGCCCCAGGACTCAGCACGCCTTTGTGTCCCCACTGCACCCGCTAACCCTGGCCTCCCTCGTCCTCCCGCAGGACGTGTTTGAGTTCAGCTACGCCAAGATGCCGGACGAGCCCCTGGACACCAACCCGCCGTCGGCCGGGCTGTCTGGAGCCCTCTCGAAATCCTCCTCCGAGGAGTCGTCCAGCGACGACGAGGATGAGGACGAAGATGAGGATGAGGACGACGAGGAGAGCAGCAGCGAGAGTTCATCGGAGAGCGAGGAGAGCTCCGACTCCGAGGAGGAGCGTGCCAACCGGCTGGCGGAGCTACAGGAGCAGGTGAGGCCGTCGACCCTGACCATAGGGGTGTGGAGGCTGCGCCTTCTCTTGGGCGGCCAGTGCTTGGCTGGGTCCCTCCTGTGACGGGTTGGATCACAGAAACCCCCTTGGGAGCTGCCACCCGATGTGCAAAGACTACCCCTGCTCCTGTTTTCCCTGCCAGCTCAGGACTCCAGCACCCTCTCAGTGGTTTGAGCATTGGCCTGCTAAACCCAGGGTTGTGAGTTCAATCCTTGAGGGGGCCACTTG